CTGAGAATTGAACTCAAGACCTCTGGAAGAGCAGTCAGTGCTCTTAACCCCTGAGCCTGCTTTCTTATGGAACCCAGGACCACCAGCCTAGGGATGGCTCCACCCACCATGGGCTGGGCCCTCCCACACTGAGCACCAATTGAGAAAATGCCTTACAGCTGGATCTCATGGAGGCCTTTCCTCAGCTGAGGCTCCCTCGTCTCTGGTGACACTGGCTTGTGTTACACTGACGTCAGCCAGTACGTTCACAAACCCATGAACTTTACTATTTTTGCTGTAAGAACAACTATCATCTCTGCAACCACTCCTCAAATGATAAATTTGTTATGGTTTTATTTAGTTTGTGATATGGAGTATTTCTATGCAGCCCTAGCTGGCCTTGAACCTACAGAGATCTGCCTCTCTCTCCCTCCCCAATGCTAGGATGAAAGGCATGTAACGCCATGACCACCTAGAACCTGTATCATTTGATTTGATCTTTGTTTATTCCAACAGGACATATGTAGAAGATAATATTTAAAATGGCTACACTGGATCTGGCTTGTTCTTAAGCAGCCGCCATGACTAGACAAGGCCCGAGGCCAAATGGTCTAGCCTCTGCTCGGGTCTGACTGTGGCTCTGGCCGGCCAGAAGCACTGGCCCTTGGCATCCATGAGACGCCAGCATGGGAGATGGCTCTGCCAATCCACCACACTGACTCCACAAAGCTCGGCTGAGCCCAGATAATACCCACCATCCCGTGGTACCCGGTGGTAGAATGAAGACTCTTAATACTTAATGGCTATCCGATTGGTACATATATTTGGTAATGCTCAATTAACAAGATGCCCACACAATTAGTGTTGTCACCCAATACCTAACCTAGATATTATAACTACCTCAGACTGCTAGAGACACTCGCACATCCTCAGCCATCTCCTCCTCCTCCCCGGTTCCTCTCTTCCTTCTTCCTCGCCCCTCCTCTTCCTTCTCCTCTAACTTTTCTTCTCTCGCCTCGCTCCTCCCACATTAGCTCCTCCCAAATTACCGAGCTTTATTGTAAAATGTAGCTGGGACAATATCCTGCTACAGACATACTGTTTTTATAATCTGAGTTTTGCTACATTAAAGTTAGGCATATTTCAGCCAGGGGTTAGAGTGAAGACTGTACTCAGCACTGGGCAGAAAGGTCGGAATTTGGAGGCTACCCTGGGCTATGTAGTAATTACAAATAAACAAATAAAACAACAATAGCAAAACAGCATTATTTTCAAAATAAAAGAATATTATCCAGTTTCTATTGTGGTAAGTTATATCTCACAAAGCTTGTCATCTACAAGACCAAAACTCTTTGGCCCTTAAATGACCATTCGCTCTTCTTCTCTGCAGCCTCTCATAAGCAGGACACGGTCTGTATGACGTTCACTACTGGCTACAGTATAAGTTATTCGTTTGTAACTCTCTTATTTCACTCTTGGGAATGCTAATCCATCCTTTCTTGTTTGTTTGTTTCTTTGCCTTTCGTTTTTAGAGACAGGGTTTCTCTGTGTAGCCCTGGCTGTCCTGGAACTCACTCTGTAGACCAGAAGTGGAATTGCTCGATCTTGAAATATTTTAAATTTTCTTAAGGAATTGCCACACCGGTTTTGACAGAGGCTGTACCATTTTACATCCTACTAATAGCACATAAGAACTCCAGTTTTTCTACGTCTCCTAGCGCTTGTTTTCTTTTTTTTTTTTCTTTTAGCAGATGTCTTTGAAAAATATTTTTATTTTATGTCTATGGTTCCTTGCCTATGAAAGTCTGTGTGTCACATGTATGCAGTACCCACGGAAGCCAGAAGAGGACATTAGAGCCTCATCAAACTGGGGTTAGCAGATGACACTCTGGAGTGTAGATCCTGTCATGTAGACACTGGAGTCAAACCCCAGTCCTTTGTAAGAGATTCCAGTATTCTCAATTGCTGAGCCATCTCTCCAGTGCCTGGGCCTATCTTAATGGATGTGAGGTGGCATGTCACCATAGATCTGATCTGTATCTACTTAATAGTGATGCCAATAACTTTTGTGAAGTGCCTTACTTAAGCCATTTGCCCATTTCTGAACTGAACTTTCTTCCTGTTTTGTTTTGTTTTAGGAGTTTTCTGTATAATCCTTTGTCAAAAATGTGATCCACACACATTTGCTCTAATTTTAAAGGTGGTCTCTATACTCTATTGCTAGAAATTTTTGACGCACAGAATGGTTGATCAAATCCAATCTCTTTATTTTTGTTGTCGTTGTTTGTTAAAATAAGGTTTTAACAGAGTCTTCCTTTTTTCCCATTAATCTCCATAAAGCCTTGACTTTAATTGACAAGTCAGATGTAACAATGGCATTTAGATACGAAGGCACGTGCTTTCAGAAGAAACTGAGAGTATTCCCTTATGATGGAACTTTACTATAAATTAAGCCAAGTGGCATCTAATACTTTTATCATAGTCTCTGAAGTTTGTGACCCAGGTAGGGATGGTGAAGAAAGATAAAAAAAGACCTGCTTTTAAAACAGAAAGATTATTTCTTACTGAGATGGCTTTGCAGAGAGCTTAGATCCCTCATTGGTAACTGAACCATCATTGCCGAGTCTCCTTCCCTTTGTCTTTCAGGCCTCGAGTGGCTATTTTGTGGTGGTCTTTGTCTATGTGATGGAGATCATTGGCAAGAAGTCTCGCACGTGGGCTTCCATGCATCTGAACACCTTCTTTGCTATTGGAGTAATGTTGGTGGCTGTGGTAAGCTATCTGGTGAAAACATGGTGGCTTTACCAGATCATCCTGTGCACAGTGACCACCCCCTTCATCCTGTGCTGTTGGATGCTCCCAGAGACACCCTTCTGGCTCCTCTCAGAAGGAAGATACAAAGAGGCACAAGGCACAGTGGATACCATGGCAGTGTGGAATAACTCCAGCTCCTGTGACCTGGTGGAACTCTTATCACTAGATGTGACGGCGGCGTCCCATGATAGAAGCCCCAAGAGCATTAGAAAGCACAGCCTAGCAGCTCTGTTTCACAGCCCTGACATTGCAAAAATGACCCTCATCGTTTGGCTGGATTGGGTCACAGCAAATTTGGGATACCACATATTTGGCATGGAGTCTATTCAGAGAAAAGAAAATGACCCTCTTTACCTCTTCCTAGTGGGTAAGCACAAATACGTGTTTACGGATGGCCCTTGAGGTCAAGTGTCTGCCATGTTCTGATTATCTTTTAAAGCTGGGAACAATATTGGTGACTGAGATTCAGTGTTGTTATACTTATAGGACACGTGTCATGTTTGTTTGAAAAAAGGTCAAGAGTTACAAGGGCTTCCTCCTCCTCCGTCTTCTTCTTCCTCCCCATTTCTCTTGCTTCTTTCCTTCCTCAATTCCTAACCCATCGTTCCTCCCAGTGAATAACTTGTAGACTATGTGGCTTGTTCATACTCCACTCTCTTTGTATGTATCTCTGTCAATGTATGCATATAAATGCTCCATGACATGGCATGTATGAGATCCTTTCGACACACTGTTCTGGGTAAGATGGTTTTCTTTCTGATATAATATGCCTAAAGTATAGAATGGTGTTTAAAAACATAATATACCAGATGCCCTTGATGTGTAAAGCTAATTTCATTACATGCAACTGTTATTTATCATTTTTTTAAAAAAATAATTATTTATTTTATGCATATGACTACACTGTTATTGTCTTCAGACACACCAGAAGAGGACACTGAATCACATTACAGATGGTTGTGAGCCACCATGTGGGTGCTGGGAATTGAACTCAGGACCTCTGGAAGAGCAGTCAGTGCTCTTAACCACTGAGCCATCTCTCCAGCCCTTCACGTAACCTTTACTAACACTGTCATGTTTGTTTAATTTTAGTAAAAGTTAGAATGACTTTAGATAAAGCAGACTGTGACTCCCAGGATAGCCACATGTGAGCTGAGTGGGCCAGCCGAGGAGACGCAGGCGGATGGTCGGAATTTGTATTCCTCCGTCCAGTCCGAGCTAGTTGTCTCTGTGTGGGCGCCTGCGTTTTATATTACCTTTAGCAAGCCCTTGTTTCTGCATCTCTAGATATCGACACCAGACTTTCTCAAGGTACACATCTATTTTCTGTGTATTATCAGTCCGTAAGAATGAAGAGAAAAATCATTTTAAGCAGTGCATTTCTGGACAATGTTACACGTCTATAAGAAATGCCCACCCCTCTTCTATACAACAGTTTGAGAAATGGTGTAGTTTTTTTTTTTTCTCTAGAACAGCAGCAAATGGCAGCAGAAGAAAGTGGGAAACAGTGTCCCCAGAGGAGGCCAGGGAGCTGCAGGATCCAGCCCATCCAAGAGCTCCATGTTCTGGATCTGAGTCATCTCAGTACTCAGGAAGGGGAGGCAGGGGGATCAACAATTTGAGTTCATTCTCATCCTTGGCTAAACAGTGAGTTTGAGGCTAGCCTGAGGATGCAAGCGAGCCCATTTTTTTTTTTAACCTATTAACTGGCTGTTGCTAGTTAATGTACTTAATTTTGAAGTTACTACTTTAGTTAGAAACTTACTACTTTAATTTTATAAAAAAAATAAATCACACTTTTTTTTAAGTTTAGAAGTTTATTATGCTACAAAATAATAGTTTTGAAGTAGGAGACAGCAGTGTTTACATATAATATAGAGGAAGTGTCTTGACCTATTTCCTGATTGGCTATAGTGCCAATGTTCTTCTAGGTTGAGGAGCTGTTGATGCGGGTTTGTCTATGGTGGGCTGCTTTGACTTGTACTAATAACTGCATGAAAGTGGCGTCACGTTATTTTTATGATTAGCGCATACGCGGCAGAAGTCAGGGTGGTTAAATGCGGCGGCTGGTTGAGGTCTTATGTAAACTATGGCCAAGCTCAAGAAGCTCTGTTTTCTGCCCTTGATTCGCTCAAGATGCACGCTGAATCCTAGTGAGCTCGGCTCCCAGGATGGTGTAAAGGGTTTGCGTGGATTTTATCTGACTAGTGGCCTCACAGGAAACAGTGTCATGCCAGTGAGTTAAAACATGGTACATCTTACCGAGGCTCAGCAGGTGCGGGAAAGCGTGGAGCGGGTGCTGGGTGGTGGCCAGCAGTCTCATAGAGAGCTCTCTGGGTCATTGGCAGGTGCTGTGGAAATCCCCGCCTACGTCTGTTTGTGCACCTGGTTGAAGAGAGTTGGAAGAAGGAAGACCATATTCATCTTCCTCTTGCTGTCCTCGCTCACCTGTGTGGTTTACGTGGTGATACCCTCGGTGAGTTAGTTTGTTCTCTTTATGGAACGGCTGTGGAAGGTTTGTGAAAAGACTTTTAGTGCCTTTTAGTATAAAGATCAATTCAGGCACAAAGACAGAGTTTATACATAATATTTAGAGGTGTCCTCCTCCTCCCTCTTTTTCTTCCCCTTCCTCCTCCTCTTGTTCTTGTTCCTCTTCCTCCTCCTCTTCTTCTCCTTCTCTTTCTTCTCCTTCTCCTCCTTCTCCTTCTCCCTCTTCCTCCTCCTCCTCCTCCTCTTCCTCCTCCTCCTCCTCTTCTTCTTCTTCTTCTTCTTCTTCTTCTTCTTCTTCTTCTTCTTCTTCTTCTTCTTCTTCTTCTTCTGTTTCTTCTTCCTCATCCTCATCTTCCTCCTCCTCCTTCTTTTTGAGACAGGGTTTTTCTGTGTGGCCCTGGCAGTCTTAGAACTCATTCTGTAGACCAGGGTGGTCTTGAACTCACAGAAATATGCCTTCCTTTGTCTCCCAAGTGGTAGAATTAAAGGCATGCATCAGCATCATCTGGCAAAGGTGTCTTCTTAAAAAACACATTCTTTTTCTTTTATACAAATATTGTGTTCATTGTAGGAAATATATATATATATATATATATATATATATATATGAATATACATGTATACATGATATACAATATTACATATAATATATATGGCACAGGCTAAACCTGAATAAAGGAGTCATGAGGACATCTGAACAATAAAGAATGTGACAAGTCAAATATTCAGATAATTTCTGCCTTTCCCACAGTCGGCCAGTAAAATAGATACTGTATGTTGACTATAGTATACACTAATCTTCTGAGAAATTTGAATTTAAAAATTTATATTTTAGTATTTTAAAAATTACATGTGTGTGTATATATGTGCCTATGTGCAGGCATGTATGTGGTGCCTGTGGGAGCTAGAGATATTGGATCCCCCTGAAGCCAAAACTGTAGGCAGTTGTGAGCCCTCTGATAGTGCTGGGTCTCGAACTTGAGACCTATGCAAAAGCCATCTCTCCAGTTCCAAACCTTGTTTTTTTAATTAAAAAAGTTAAAAAAAAAACCCTTCTTCTCTCATACCTTACACCCTGACTGCAGCGTCCCTCCCTTGCCTCTCACCAGTCTCTCTCTCCCACCTTGCCCCTCCCCCAGACCCACAACCCACCTCCCCTCAGAAAAGAACAGGCCTCCCAGGGACATCAACGAAACTCTGCATAATAAGCAACAATAAGACCAGGCACAAACCATCACATCAAGGCTGGACGAGGCAGCCCAGTAGGAGAAAAAGGTCCCATAAGTAGGCAAAGATTCAGGGAGTGGTGGTTTCCACTCCCACCACCAGGATCCCCTGAAGCACACCAAGGTAGTCAACCATAATGTATGTGCAGAGGACCTGGGTCAGACCCCTACAGGGGGCCCCTTGACCTCTGGGTGCCCCCATGAGTCCTGGTCAGTTGATTTTGTGGGCCGAATTCTCATGATGGTGTTCCTGACCCCTCTGGTTCTCTGACCCTCCCTCCCTCTCCTCTGCAGGACTTCCCAAGCTCAGCCCAGTGTTGGGCTGTGGGACTCTGCACCTGCTCCCATCAGTTGCTGGTTGAAATCTAGTCTCTAGTCTCTTTGATTCTGCTAGACTCTGGTCCCAGAGCACTCTGCAGGCAGAACAAACTATAGGTCGAAGATTTTTTTTTTGTGGCTAGGTTGACGTCTCAATCCTTCCATTTGAGACCTTGCCTAGTTACAGGAGGTGGCCAAGAACCTTGTTTTTGAAAATACAGCTTCTTAGTGAGAAGTGCTTCTTTCCACCACAGAAGCAGTATTTCCATTGCTGTGTTTCGGTGAACCATGGCACGTATGATTACGGTATCTAGAGGACACCCCACCTGAATGCTACCTGAGCCTGCTGCGTCTTAATCCTAATTTGGGAATGGTGGTTGGTATAGCTATACCTTAGAATAATTTGTGTCATTTTCTTCAACAATGACCTTTATTAAACGATAGTGTGGCAAGTTTAGAGCAAAGCAGGTTAACTTTTGCATACTGCTTGAAAGTTAATTTACGTTATAAGCAACATCCTTTAATGGCAACGCTACTGAATTATCAGGGCTGGTGAACCACATGTTTTACATTACCGAATTTCCAAATGATTGGCATACAGTTAGTATGAATAAAGCTACTCGGGGCAGGGCGGTTTCTGCCAGCCTGGGAAAAGTTTATTCACGCCTTTAAAAAGGTAGCTGAGTTGGCTTGATGGCGGCTCCTTTTGGATCTGGCAGAATCCTAAGAACTTCACATTTTTTTAATAGCAGAGAAGAAAGGAGAGTGGCTTCTGGAACCTTCTAGAAATAGAGCAGTAACTCACAACTTCAAATATATCCCCTCAAATAAAACTCCTCCTCAAAGATGGTGTCAACATGGTGAAAGTTATCACTATCACTCCTATTTTGTTCACACTACCTGGGTCTGGACCTGTAGCTCAGTGGTTTTGTGCTCGCCCGGCATGGGGAGCCAAGCATTCAGACTCTAGCACTGGAAAAACGGAAACAAGGCAGGATGCCGGTTCATTCAGCAAACACTGTATGTGATAACAGAGGCGTTAGCAGTTTTAAGAGGTCCCCCAAAACCTATGACTTAACATAATGTGTTATACGCTCAGAGCAACTGGCGTGATGTACTGGCTGTCTAGCCAGAGTGAGAGGCTCCCAGGCCTGCCGTTATCATTTTTCTATTATTGTATTTTATATGTAAAGATACTTTGCGTGAGGGTATTTCTGTGTACCATGTACATGCCTGGCACACTGGGAACCTAGAAGAGAGTGTTTGATCCCCCGGAACTGGAGTTGCAAGTGGCTGTAGGCTGCCATGCGGATGCTGGGAACCCTGATCCAGGTCCTCTGCAAGAGCATCAAGTGGTCTAACCTACTGCCACTTGCTGTCTACCTCCCAGAGGAGGGGGAGGGAAGAGATGGCAGAGTGCGGAAGGTCCTCTCGGAAGGTCCTCATGAACCATCCTCAGAGTGGAGCACTTTAGAGACGGCAGACAGTGGGTTGGGGACACTGACAGGTTTTCAGGGACGTGTCAATGAACAAATAAAAACAGTAGACACTTTTACAGGATTGTGTTTGGAGACAGTTTTAAACCTGGCTCACTCTCTCCAGATGCAGGCTTTGCTTCGAGGGCTCCTTTCCGGCTGTCGGTGACTGGTGCAGGCATCTGCTTAGGGAGTGTACCCAGCCCCGCATCTTCATCCCGACAGGCATTCAGTCCTCTCGGGGCTGGGGGAGGACACATTCAAAACTTTCCCCCTAAGTCCCACAAAGGCAGAAAGCTTTTGCAACCCACAAGCAGAGTTTACAAAATCAATGCAGACAGGAAATTTAAAACTCTGTTATTCTCAAACATGTGGATAGAATTAGGACGTTTTAAGTGATTTTAATGATTTGATATTTTCTTTTGTGTGTGTGTGTGTGCTTGCAACCCCCTCCTCCCCAGAATTACAAGACTGCGAAAAGAATGACAGCTTTGGTGGTCAAAGTCGTCATAGGGTCCGTGTTTGCCTTTATTTACCTTTATACGGCCGAGCTGTATCCAACAACCGTAAGGTAAGGCTTCCTACTCTTCTGTTGGATTCCTGTTACTTTTTACTTGCGTGCCATTTCATCATGTTCGATCTTTAAATACAAACGTGGTCTTCCCATGGATGGTCCTCAGATCTCTGAGATTCGGGAAAATCCCACAATGATGATAATTTTGACTCTAAGCTGCTGTTTGTAGCTCATTAGCAAGGAGATTAAAGGATTGTTTTGAAGTAACTCTATTAAACTCACAGCAAATCCTATATAAAACAGGTGTCTACTGACTCTGTGCGTGTCACACGAGACTGTCTTCCTCATGGGTGCCTCTCAGTGTTCTGATGGCAGGCATAGGCATTAGGTGGCTAAACAGCAGACACTTTGTCGTAGTTGAGTGGTCAGAGTCTCAGACCCAAGTGTTGGGATACTGGAGGCCACTCTTGGCTGACCCCTGGTGCTTTTTCACAACGTATTCACAAGGCCTAAGCTCTGTGGACACTCTGATTGGCTTTCTACCTTCTTATGGGGTACCAGTTTTATTGAATTAGGACCCCTTGTTTTAACATAATCTCTCCTTTAATGACTCTATCTCCTAAGTCTAAGATGTTGTGTGTGGACTTTAACATCTGCATTTTGAGGGGACACAGTTTAGCCTCTAACAAGTCCCTGGTTCCCTGAGACTACCTCATCAGGGACATCCCCAGGCTGTAAGAAACTCTGAGGCATCGGATACAAAATCCCAGCCCTGGGTCTCCACAGTACAGATGCTCCAGGATTACAGGTGATTCTGGGTTGCTTCCTGCTTTTTCTGAGGTCTCAGTGACCTGAAGTCCAGGGCTCTTCCAGCCCTTTGAAGACTCTTACCAACAACATTTCCCATGAGGACAGCACGTGAAGTGCCCAGGTCCTTTGGAAGCCCGGGTGGTGCGCTGGAGTCTCCTTTTGGTGTGTGTGGATGAGCAGCCTATGATTCCCAGAGCTCCTACTGCAGCCCCTTGTGTCTGCACTAAGGCCAGAGACTGCACACATCTGCTGCAAGACACAGTTTGGATTGGGGCCTTTTCCCCTTTGTTTAGAGAATCATCTTGAATTTTAAAGTTTAAATAGTGGTTAGTGTCACAATGATGCCATGAAAGGCCCATGCCCCAGCTTTCCCTAGAAAGATCTAGAAGTTTTCTGTTGACAGACCTCTCCTAAATCCTCCAAATGACCTTACCTATGACTCACTTAATCCAGTAGTTCCCCCTCTGCCCCCCCCTCCCCTCCCTCCCCCCTCCCTGTATAGGCAATTAAACCCAGAGCCTCACATGCACATCCGTTAGGCAAGGACTCTACCACTGAGCTATATCAATAACCTATCCCCCCATTCATTTTAAATTCTGAGACAAAGTCTTGTTGAATTGCCCAAGCCGGCCTTGAATTTGCACTGTGTCCCAGGCAGGCCTTGAATTTACGCTCCTCTTACCTTAGCTTCTCTGAGTGCTAGGATTACAGGCATGTACCATGATACCTGGGAGAGGTTTTGATTTTTCTAAGAAAAACAATACTTTTTAGTGAGTCTATTTCTTAGCCTATAAAAAAAGCCAGTGTTAATGGTAACAGAGGAGAACCTGGGAATTCAGCTCTCTGCAGAGGACTGGGCTATCTGCTTCCTTAGCTCCCAAACAACTGTCCGCTACCCCAGTGTCTGAGTGCAGACGTGGGGTTCTCTTCTTCCCTCCAGGTTACCCAGAGTATTTGTGTGTGGTGTGAGTGGTGTGTGTGTGTGTGTGTGTGTGTGTGTGTGAGAGAGAGAGAGAGAGAGAGAGAGAGAGAGAGAGAGAGAGAGAGAGAGA